GTGACTGAGTAGCAGTTTAGTGCAGACATTGATGCATATACTATCGGGGCACTAAACGCCATACACGAGAACGAGCAGATGCAATTGGATAGGTTACTCTCATTGACTTTGCACGAAGCTGATCCTTGCAGAAATATGAAAAAGGCATCAATGATGTTCCTCTCTCTGAGTACATTACTCTATTGCTTTGTGTTCTGTTGTAAGTCTACGGACGACATTTTTTTCAGACATGTGTTAGTATCCAAAACCCTTGAGTGTGAGCGTAACAAATCAAATCATTCGCTACTTGAACTGTATAACTACATATATTTCAGAAATTTAGAGCTCATAAGAAGACGATATGTCAGAGCACCATTTGCCACTTGACCCGAGTTTCCTTCACCATCCCCAGAACTCCAACGGGCAGGAACTTCTGATCCACCAGTCTAAGACCTCCCAGTTTCTCTAGCACCTCTCCGGCATATAACTGCAAGTGCCATAGCTCTTCACTGTCCAAGTTGCCAACTTGCCCCTGGGTTAGTGTCTCCCGTAAAGCTTTCTCAAGCTCCGGTGATTCATCAAGTGGTTGCATTGTCGGAACGCGCATCAAATCGATATACATCCGTCTGAGATTGCCACTTGCAGTTTCGCGGAATCGAGAAAATTCCTCGAATGACATGAACGTATGGATTTCTCGCTCGGCCACCAAGTCGCCGTCGAGATCTGCATTGGTAACACAGGTCTCTAGCATCTTTCGCCGTCGTTGATCGCTCAAGTCTTCGAACGTCTTTTTTCGCTGAGAATACAAAGTTTTCTCTTCCTCTAGATATTGCTTTATCCTCGCTAGCGGTGTCTCGTCCATGATACCCTCAACCAGGAGCACGGATGTGAAGGGATTGCGTAGGCCAAGTCCACCTAATTCTTCGGGGAAGAAAAAGAAAGCATCCGGAATCTCAAATTCACCAAGCCGTCCTGTGATAATTGCCCGCAGATGTTCTGGAATACTTGTTGATGCCGTGTAATTCAAAATCCTATCTTGGATCTTCTTGTACGTAGTCAAAATGGCACGTACATGAGGCTCCCCAAAGCAGTAGGCAGGCTGACCGAAGGTATTCTTGAAGAACCTTCCGATGCAGCTGTTCCATGTGCGGACCCAGGATATTACACTATCGCAGCGGTCCAGTTGCTGTTTGAGTTGCTGAACGTGCGCATCGACAAGGGTCTCATCAATCACCCACGTCTCGGAGTCTGCATCCAGTTTCAGAAATCCAAATGTGACTGAACCTTTCGGGAGCTGGGCAGCGATTCTGGGATCTCTGTACTCAGCCAGATAAGCCGACCCAGTTTTGCTGTAATTAAACTCCAGCCCTGTGACTTTGGCAAAATTACCCATCACTTCCCATGCTCGTACACACTTGGCTGGCTCGCCGCACAACCACAAGTCATCATGCAGGCGGTATAAGAGCAAGCCCGTTTCGCGATTTACTGCTAGATCCATGAAAAAGAGGATCATTTCTCCAAGCAGTTTCTCAGCGGCATGCGAGAATGGAATTCCCCGTTTCCTAATGCGTGGTCCAACTGGCTCACGTCCCTCATAGGAGCTGTCCATGTTTAGGGGTGCTTCCAGATAACGATGATAGAAGTCAATCCACCTCTTTGGGAACCCAATATACTTCATGATAATGACAATTGTACTGTGCGGCAGACACGTGGCGTACCATTTCATGTCGGATTGAACCAGCACCGCTGAACCGTGCAAGTGTCGACGGACAAGCGCCTCCGTGGCAATCTTCCGTAGCAGCTGCTGTCGGAAATTCTTCCCCTCATTCCTTGTTGAACTTGTCCCAGCATCCTCATTGTCGTCATCATATGAATTGCCCTTCTCACTCAATGTTCTCTCTGACCATGGAAGCTGCGACAAGAAGTATGTTTCCAGGTACTCCGTGAATCGCAACTGCTCAGCAGTTGAATATACTTCGTCATTACCCATGTAGTATTTCCGTCGAAGGCGATCGCGTGCCGTCATCTGTCGCTCGGGTTTCCAATTCCACACCGAGTCCTTTTGGACAAACCTTGACAATAGACGCTTCAGAATATTACAATGTCGCGTGCCGATATACTGCAGGAAAATCAACTGCAGGAGATCCTCGTCCATCCAAATGCGATACTTCCCATTTGCCTGCTGCCGGGGGACAACAGGAATACCATTTTCCCCAGCATGCCAGACCCAGTTATCGATATCACTGTATCGCATATTTAACACATCGGCGATCTCAGTCAGAGCGACCGGTGTCTTCAGAAAAGAATTCATAATCTCCCGCTTCTCCTCACTGAGAAGTTCTTCATTCAAGAGTCCACGCACACAATATTCCACCGATCGCGCGGTAAAAGGCTCTTGTTCTTCCCAAAATGATGTAGTATCGTTCCTGACCTGCCTGCGAAGATTGACCAAGGCATTTACACTCTCCTCATCCGGAAAAAGGTCATCAAGGAACGCCCGTATCTGCCATTCGTTTGTCTCCAACGGCTCGAACACGGACGCGTCGAATTGATCACACAGTTGCTGAAGACGCTGCTTCTGTCGCTCATCCACGACCATGTAGTCGTCGTCGACCGCCATCTCGCTCTCATCCTGGGCCGCCTGTTGCGGTGGGTCCACCCACTCCGTCAGTAGCCGCGAGTACAGGTCAGCCAGGTCTAGCTTTCGACTTTGGATGTTGAGTTTTCTGAGAAGCTGAGCCTCAAATTCCTGCAATTTTTGTGGCGGGATTGACGAGTCGTAGATTGATTGATGGACCCATCGCTCAATGTTACCCATAGTTGGATCGCTGGACGCCGACGGACAGAGCTCTCTTGCTCCCTCGAGCAGGCCCTCGAGTCGCTGACGAGGGTCCTGAGTGGCATGAGTCGCCTCTAGAATGGCAGCCTTGTCAGCCTCATAGATTTTGCGTCGCTTCTCAAGCTCGCGGATTTTGCTCTGAGTCAGGGACCGCAGGGTTTGCGAGAGGGCGGACATTGCAGGGGCCATTATAGAGCTGCACGATTCGCGACCAAAATTTCATCAATTAACGAGAGACTGGTGTGTGTTATCTCAAGCCCAGACCGTATAGTCAATGGTTTTATACTTCCCCGGCTGGCAGCTTGGCAGCACTTCTGCCTGCGCAGCTGCCTGGCGATCGGCATGCATCCACATTCCACCAATGAGGCTCTACACCCATCTACAAAGCATCTGCAAGGGATAGAAATGGACATGCTAGGGTCTCTTTCAACCCTCCCTCGACCCTTCATTCATGATTCAACCATGTCTGCGACCAGTACCAAAGAATGCAAAGAACCACGAAACCATCCCTATTGAATCTCCACACTATGTACAGGGATAACAACACCCATAAATCCCCCCCTTCTCAATGAATCAATTCTCCAAACTAAACCTCGCCAATCCATCCACCCACTCCTGATGTCCCAAAAGCATCGGATTCGGCTTCTTCTCCGCCAGCCCAGCAGCCGGCTTTCCCGCCTGCACCTCCTGCGTTAGAATCCTCACCACTCCCCACTCCATATCCTCCACAATCCACGCATGATACACCTCCAGCGCCGTCTCCTCGTCTCCTTCCTGCCACGCCCGCCAGGCTAACCGTCCCGGTGAGGTTGCTGTGGGCGTCACGCATTCGCAGATCTCTGCTTGGAGAGGCGGGAATCCGAACGTCGCGAAACTGAACTTGTCGCCGGGGTTTTGGAACGTTCCGTCGCCGGTTGGGGGCGGTGTCACTTGGTCCACGTTGCTGTAGTAGGATGTCCAGCGGGACGGGGTGATCAGGTTCGGCCATACCCGGGCGGCGGTTAACTTGGGGACGTAGATCTCGTTGGATACGAAGTTTTCGGTCGTGCCGGGGAGGAAGCGGTGGGGGAAGTGGATTGTGGACATTTTGGTTGATTGAGGTGGTGGAGTAGGACGATGAGGTAGGTTATTGAGGGTAGGGTGAGGATGAGCGTTAACGATGAACGATGTAATTTCAGTGGGGTTGTCTTGATTATATAGATTGAAAGAAGAAAATAATGGGAGGAATGGATGAAGGTTCTTATATCATGTTGGAGAGGGGATATTACATCATATGCCCCACGGTGATGGTTGGTGGATCCGGAACGCTATCCAAGCTTGACATAACCTTATACTTTTTGGGAATAAGCTCACTGACTATGATTCAATCATATCAACCCGCAGACGATCCACTACGTCGCTGAAATCATACTGCAAACAGGCTTGCTCGGGCAATTTAGTCAAGTTAATCTTGACACTGACCCCGACCCTGAGTTAGCCACTAACACATAAACTCCAGGGCCAAGGGAATAAACACTGAATACACTGGGTAGAAAAGAAACTGCTTACGCTCTGTCTGAGTCAACGGTGAAGAATACGCAAACAGAAGGAACAGATATGTTAGAAGCAATACAATGGACGCACGCAGAGGGTGGGTAACTCAGGCAGCTGTCAGAGGCTAGCTCTGACTAGCTGGTCAGCTGCGCCACTCGTTTATATCTACTTTTGTATGACTACGCTTTGCTTTACTTTTACTTTTGTGTATGTTTGGTTGTGTTTACAGCTGCGGTGGCAGCTTCCCTACGTTTTGGCATGCGTTACTTTGTGATTACTGCGAGAGTTGTGGTATTGAGGCGTTCTAGACTGATTTCTTTGCTCTAAAGGTGAAGCACCTGCATAGCTAGCATCTAAATAGCGGGCTCCATCAGGTTTTAGAATATGAATTGGTTTGAAACGGCCATTCGAGCTTGACATAACCTTAGGGGTACTATTTCATGGTTGTGTCTTTGGCTATCTAATGACCCCTGCATTCTTCTAATCACGACTTGAGATGATTTTGACAAAGGATCTCGCTGCCTCTAGTTTACACTTTTTGTGTCAGCGGCTTTCTCGACCAGGCTTGAAGTACCGGTGATGTGTCACTCACATTTGTATCCTCTATCCGGGTCCTCAGAGCTGGTCATTGTTTCCAAAAAGAAAGCCTTTAGACAGCAGGCACCGAGGAACCACCCGTGCTAGCATCAGAAGTGGATGAAGAAGTGGAGGCAACATCATTGCCATCACCCTCCTCGGCATGTGCGTCCTCGTCAAGGTGTCCAGAGTATGGGGTGCCACAAGTAGACAAAGTGCACACATTCATAGGAGAACATTCACATGCAGCCACACACGGCTGGCTGCCCATGACCCTACGACCCCAGCAGGTTGTGCCATGGTGTCCGCAGAAGTAGGTGTAGGTTTCCGAAGAACAGTTCAGGATATACTCAAGTGAACGCTCGGGGTTCTTGCTCGTTCGCTCCTGCTTGGAAGAACCAGTGGGTGCTGCGGATACCAGAGGTGCAACCAACAGTAGAGTGTTGATGATGATGGAGGTAGGCTACAGTGGGATGAATGCTTGTTAGCTTGATTCTTATGTTCTTATTCATTCATAGTGGTATGAGTAAGGAGCTGTCTGTGGATATATAGAGGTTCTTTGAGAGTTTACCTTCATGATGGGCAGACGTTAATATTTGATTCGAGGAAGTCGTTGTAGGACGAAGTTGATCTTTGTAAGGGTGTTGTTTTGTACTGATTGAGGGTCAGCGATGGAGTGGTATATATATCTCTTCGTACTTGCTTACTCAGTCGATGTAGAGAAGGAGCAAACTCTCCTCATAACTTCCCTTCTTTTCTCTTCCATGTGGCATGTCACAAAAACCCCTTCAGTGCTGGCTGAACTAGCATGCAAGTCGACACCGAGCGATGTTACGCTGGAGTCGAACTTGCCAGGATTCGACCGCCATTGAGTAGACTGAACCCCGCAGCCGTATCTAGAAATATGTGTGTCTGTGGATCTTAATCACGACCTAAACAAAATGCCTCAATCTTTGGGAGTCCCTGGTATTCATGGATTTATGTTGTTAAAACGACTAGACATGGGTACCAGAAGTTACAGCCCAAGAATTAGCTCAGTGCCCATACTTTAAAGCTGCAAGTGGAAGACTCAGACTTGCAGAGTGAGACATACCAGCCCATATATGTCAGACACAATGTCTGGAAAAGGAAAAAAGTCTCTAGGGCTGGACGCTAATTGATATGAGAGAGTGCACGTGTTCTCGGTGAATCAGAGGGTGATAGTGATAATGTCGCATATTATCGGAGCCAGCGGATTTAATCGGAGGCCATGGCTTAAAGAATAAAGCAAAGAAATGCTTGGGTAATGCTTAGGCTGCAAGGCTGGAGACTAGCGGAGTGAGATTTTAGTGCGGATGTTGAGTTCGCTAGGATTCAGTACCCCGACCAGTTATGCGTAAACCGTCGAATTGCTCTTTTTCTACAAGGGGTAAGGTTTTATACCCAGAGGCTGTTGAATGAAGCTCAATGATAAATTGCTGCTAATGTAGTGTCTTTCAACTGGTTATGTGTAACATTAGCTGTCAACCCATGTCCGAAAAGAACCATCTCATAGGCCAAGTCAAGCATAGTGGAACTAGCTACTGCACAACCTACTGCTACTAGCTTGAGTCTTGTCTCACAGACAATGAATCAGAACCGAGGATTCTCCTTCTTTCGCTCCTCTTCCACAAATGCCTCGAAAGCCGCAATTGCCTCCGGCGGAACGTACACATCCTTCCACAATTCCCCTTTCATCCGCATCACCACCTCGTGCATCATCTCCTGAGTCAGATCGCTTGAACAGACCACCGTCATTTCATACTTGGTCGCGCTGATATTTTCGATTTCGTACGCCTTTTCTTTCACATGGCCCGCAATAGCAACGAAAACATCTTCGATTGGGGGTGGAAAGTCGGTGCATATAATGCGAAAACCGTCGCCAGGTTTCAGATTTATCCATGTGGTTTTGATGAATGGAGGCCCGCAAATCACAAAGTTCTTGTCGGTTATCTCTTCGATGACACCAGTAGTTGGATTTTGGAACTTTCCATTCATAATGGGGACCCCGTGGACAGGATGCCAGTATGAAATGTATTTCATCTTCCAACCCTGGAAAATTGAATTGGGCTTGAGCTTTGTTTGAGATACCGTGAAAGAAAGAAAGTAGAATGGTTTCTGAGATATGTCTTTTAGAAGGGAGAAAGAAGGATGGCCTTCTATAAGACCTTTTGATGTTATTGATGGCTGGCAGGTCTCCAGCATGACATAGACTTTGGTCTAATATGAAACCCCTGTCAAACTAGGAGGAAGCGGGTATCACATGTCCAAGACCAAACACTCATCCAGAGGCACCCATTTTAATCAAGCTTGAACCCCTGCTAAATGTCTCATTTCCCCTCTCTTGTTCTTCTAACGCGACCAAAAATGCCGCAAGTTCCTGCCTAGAAGACAGAGATGTAACGTTGGATTCTCAAATCAGGTAAGACTTACATTAGCGCAGAGGATAAGCATTTCGAGTCAAGGCTCGTTGCTGTCAGAACATGGAGGACACTTTTTCCTACTGTATTAGTCTCTAGGGTCTCTGATTCATAAGCCTAGAGACTGGGTATAATCTGGCACCAAACACACTGCCTAGGAATGCCGAAAAAACCCCTACCAAAGCCAAGGCTACATCCCATGGGATTCTCAATCGAGAAGATCTAACAGAGGGTTGTAAACCCAATCTGATACTAGAGTAGCCACACAGTTGATCCTACGCTTTTTCTCCATCTGAAGTTAAGTACCGGACCCACCGCTTACCAATGTCCCTTGTTTATAACTAAACCACTCACTACAAGTAAGCAGCGATCAAAATCTTCCAAGCTTCCCCATATGCACTTCGCCCGGTAGCTATTCTGGCCAGTATAGCTAAATTCTCAGAGCAGGCGATGTGGCAAGACGGGGTGCGGACCATCCTTCCGCTTATGGCTTAGTCTCCATCCGTCGCACCAACCTTAAATTTCTCTGGCGGACACTAAGCCCTGTTCGTTCACACTAGTCCGATCAAAGTTAGCCGGCAGATCAGGGTCTGCTGTACGTAGCACGGTTGTCCCTGCGTCGGTGGCTACCATCACACATACTTGATGAGCTTCATGTGGTCGGACAATGAGCAATAATTGTAGTGGAATAATATATCAGTACAATGCAGAGTACCGCACAGCAAAAATAAAACCAACACATGTGACAACGAACAATGACCGACAGACCCAAACACCAACTGCGTATAATGGTAGTGGATCACATATACCCCACATCATCTGTGAATGATTTCAACACAACACAAATAAACATCCAAAGACAATCATCAAGGACGACAGCTACATTATTAAGCTGAATTAATCATCAAGGTCAACCTTCTGGAAGATGCTGCGTGCCAAAACACCGTCCGAATCCAGCTTAGCCTCCGCTCGGAACAAGCGTGGGCGGAATCTAAACCCGTTTAGGATGATTTTGTAGAAATGCCCCGTTTGTTTATCAGCTTGGCTCTGCTCAGATTCCATGACCAGAACACCCGGGACAAAAGGTATATAAACACAGACAGACATGGCATTCTCCTATTCATCATTAAAGCAACACTTTCTCCATCCTCCATTTGAGATCACCAAGACATCAACATCTCTACCGTGACCACTTCCCTTCTATACCCATCACCTTCTCACACCACACACAATGGCACCTCAACTCGCCTGGCTGGGCCTCGGTAACATGGGCCGCGTACGCATCCCCCATCCCCAATAACTGACCAACAATCCACAACCTCTAACTTTCATAACAGGGCATGGCCAAAAACCTCGCCGCCAAAGGCTCCCTCACCACTCCCCTAATCATCTACAACCGCAACATCGCCCGCGCCCAAGAATTCCAAGCCGCAAACCCCAACACCACCATCGCCAACACCATCTCCGAAGCCGTCACCAAGTCCGACATCATCTTCACCTGTGTCGGCGACGACGCCGCCATCCAATCCATCATCGACGCCAGCATTGCCAGCGGCTCCCCCCTCACCGACAAGCTCTTCGTCGACTGCTCCACCGTCCACCCTGACACCACAACCTCCATCTCCGAAAAGCTCCAAGCCAAGGGTGCTCACTTCGTCGCCAGTCCCGTCTTCGGCGCCCCGCCCATGGCCGCCGCCGGCCAGGTCATCCCCGTGCTGGCGGGCCCCCGCGCCGCCGTCGAGAAGGTCAAGCCCTACACGACGGGAGTTATTGCCAAGGCGGTTGTGGATTTCAGTGATCAGCCCCCTGCTAAGGCGTCGCAGTTGAAGATCCTCGGTAACACATTTGTGTTGGGTATGGTCGAGAGTATTGCTGAGGGATTGGTGGTTGCGGATAAGTGTGGTCTGGGCACGGATGCCTTGCATCAGTTCTTTGAGGCTGTGTTCCCCGGTCCCTACGTTGCTTACTCCGCTAGGATGAGGTCGGGTGATTACCATGAGCGGAAGGAGCCGTTGTTTGCGGTTGATTTGGCTAGGAAGGATGCCCGTCATGCGATGGATCTGGCGGGTAAGGTGGGCGCCAGGATGAAGGGGGTTGAGTTGGCGGATGACTACATGGCGAAGGTGAAGGAGCATATGGGTGAGAGGGGTGATGTGGCGGGTATGTATGGCGCTGTGCGCCAGGAGGCGGGTTTGGAGTTTGAGAATGCTCAGTAGGTTGTTGTTGAGACAACCGCTATAGTCAAGCGCCTCTTACCTACCTACCAGCCATCATCTTGAGATGTAGATAAATAATATACATACGTTTGATCCATCCTGCCCTCTATGTCACGGAAGAATAGTGACCGACAATCTAGCTAAAATGAGCAAGTCACATTCCATTTTCAACCCGGGAGTAGTGGAAGTGTCCGTAGAGATAGGGAGAATGACATTTCCTATGGCCATGGAGGGAGATGAAGCACAAGAGCGACTTTGCAAGTTTATTGATGTTTTCGGAAGAATATATTGGCTGGGCGCTTTGTAACACTTATAATTAACCTAATTTCGTTTATATTCAGGTGATCAATCAGCAACGAAAACAAAAAAAGAAAAAAGAAAAAAACATACAACAGAAGGGATTCGCTGGTGGTCACCCACCCAACTACTAACCTCCCGGCGTGTGGCTTAAGTACGGCTGAGCGGACGGGAAGCCCTGTTTTCCACACCCTGTGGTCGTATGTGTCAGATTCTGAATTGAAACGATTGATATAGACCAAATATACTTGATCAAGCTGTAGAATAGCAACGGGAGTTGTTCTGGAAGAATCTCTGGAAGAAAGTTCATGGACATCTGCATAACGACTCTCTATGATATAGTGTGGACGGGGACTCGATTATACATTACTTAATGTGAAAATATAGCCAGACAAAGTAGTAATCGGTGTGGGTTTTACTAAGAAACTTCAACATAATGAATGCTACTAATCAGAAGGGTTTACTGCATTATATAAATAACACCTTCGGTCTGTAGTATACGGACGGAGTACTTCCCACACACTTCATCCACGTTTTTCAGTACCCGCATTTGCCCAACTTCCAGTGGGGCAGCCGCCTACCACACAGTAATGGGGAATGCATCAAAAGTCCACTTCCACGTATCGATAGAGGCCTGGTCATAAACACACTCCATCTTTGTGGCATTATTCACCCAGAGGGGTCGCAGAGGCCAACTGCAGAGTTTCTGCTCCTCGCCCTCGTAATCCCCAGAAAGAACAGTAGCATTCAGAGTCACTGGCTCTACCCCGTTCTCCACCCAGTCAACCAAGATCGCGAGGTTAGTAGTCGGGAAAGGACCATTAGGTTGCAAGTCATTGGGAGAACAGTGTGCCGCACCAGGAACGAGATACAAGCGATACCAGTCATGCATGCTGTCGACGCTCTCATTGTAGGACATATATGGGTACATCACACTGCGAACGGACTCGTAGTAGTGAACGGATGATGCGGGAGGAACGCTGTCATCAGCCTCACCATGGTAGTGGATGATCTTGCCCCCATTCTCGCGGAATAAGGTTAGGTCAGGCCAGGTCGTGTGCAAAGAATCCTCATAGCGTTGCCAACCTTCGTACATCCACCCCTTCAATGTATCGTAGGTGACGTTGTCCAAGCTGGATAGATCGGACGTATCCTGCAGCCACAGGAAGCGTGTGACGAATTCGGCACCGATCTGGCTGATACTCAAATCCCACGAGGCAGTTTCTGAGTCATAGACAGTAGTGGCATCTTCGAACGAGGCACCCATTTGATAAGACAGGTAGACTTGCCGACCCTAGGAATCTTTCAGCCCGTCAATGATTGCCTGGGCTACCTCCACTCCGGCTTCTGTGACGGTTCCATTCTGCGCAGGACTCGTGGACATTCCACGCTTAGCAGGACCAGAGCCGCCCCCGGAGCTTGCGGCGCAGTAGTATGGCTTGCCCACGATGGAGGACATGTTGAAATTCAGACGACAAAGGTCCGATCGGGCGACAACTCCGTCTGTCCGGCCATCGAGAGGGTCGCAGTAGGATATAGTTTCATTCACAATCAATTCGAGCTCACATGGAGGGGGGTAGTAGTCAAGGGTCTTCTCAACCAAGGCGGAGAAGAGATGCACCAACTGCTGGAACGCAAATCGGATGGCAGGGGCACCAGTAATCACTCCATCAAACTGGTCACCAAATCGTTGGACTTGACTCCATCCGTCGCGACCACCCTCAGAGCAGGACTGATAATAGCTGTAGATCTTGGTATTGCTCGCATTGAAGAAGAGGCCAGCAAACTCCTTGCCCAGGATACTCAATTCATGAATCGCTTCGTAACCGAACATGTACAATGCCTCATAGTTACTTGTTCCATTCTCCAAAGGGAAGATATCATCCAGTGCGCTGGTGAACCCTCCAAAACCACCGTCCGTTGCTCCCGAGACTGCACCGTAGATGATGCCCGAAGGGAGTTCCGTGCTCAATGTATTGATGGCATAACCGCTTCCGCCCGTCGATAGGTAGCGATACTGGAAGCTGTCCGGAGCGGGTAACCAGTACCAGACATTGACAGTGTCATTGAGCCCGGCATGGGTGTAGGAGAAAGTGACATTGCAATAGTCGAAAGAGGCATCCGGGTAGTCGTAGGACCCGCTGACAGAAGCGTTGTAAACTGAGTTGACAACAACAGACTCAGCATTCATTGATACGCCAGGAATAAGATCATCTGCGGGCAAACGTGCCTGGACGTAGTCCACCGTGCAGATGGAGTCTAAGCTAGTGGCCGCCACGAGGGCTGCCACAGAAGCTGCGGATAGAATGCCCAGGGAAGATCTCATTGAGAATAGACAGATCATATGAATAGAAAATGATGAGTGATGAAGGAGGTATTATCTCGAGGATCGAAGAGAACAGGATCCGCTTCTTATACATCATCCTGCTTCTCACTCAGCGCTACTGCGGCATCCAATCTCAAGTCTCTTGTACAGTGGGCTTCATCTGACAGAATACTTCTGAAAGGTAATTGCAGGACCATGGACACATAATGCTTGCCTTACTATAGTGTGTCTTGGCTAGAGGCTCTCGTCCGTCATGGAAGCCAGTGATACATTGTTTGTATGACCAATAAGTACATGACATAGCCTATAATGTCTCGGCGGAGAAGACTACATTGAACTGGCGCAAGAGCCAGGAGACGCGTCCCTCCCTCAGAAGGTGTCTCAAACGGGCAAGGATGCTCGTTGGTCACTGGCCGAATTATCCGAGGAAGCCTTGCTTTGTACCGATCGACAGGGTTAGAATCATTAAAAATTCCGCGTGCACGCGCAATCGGGGAAGATCTGGCCGGAGGTCGGTGATGATATCAACTTCCGATGTTGCGGGCTTGCTCCACTTTTGCCTCGGCTTTGGCCGACAATATCCCCAATCATCTAGCTGGACCCTGGATTGATGTGAAAATAGACATCTAGCCACACGAATCGGAGGTCACTTTCTCAGCTAGGAGATCAGGTATTTGATTATGACCACAGACATATGAAGACCTCTCATAAGCGGATTATACTTGCAATTCCCCTCCCCTCGACGATTGAATACCTTTAGCCATTATCTGCTGAAAACCTAGTCTCAAGTGTGGCACACTCTGAATTTTGAACAACCTGGCAGAATTGTTTTGAAACAACTAGAGTACTCTAGGTCGGAGAGAGGCATCCAACCCCGTGCCATAATATTCCCCCTCCGCCGATATATTAATTTGCAGTGATTATAGATAGCCTCTGTCGGGCATCGGTGCTCAAATTCATGGAGCGCATCCGTAATTGCAGGCCCGCATTTCTCCGCTACCTACGTAAGCCCTGTTGATAGTCAAATCCAAGCTTCAATTCTCATTCAGACCCTGATGCAGACTGATAGGTACAATTGGTGACGTACTACGCCCTTCCCCGTGATATAGAGTGCGGTCCGGTGCCCTACTAGGCAACATGAGCTATTTGGTTTCGTCTACCCCACCCCTCTGATTCTTCGAGTACCTTGTCATCTCTTGGCTAACACATGGTGACGCGTTCATCGGTGTGATGCCGTTTAATTGATTTAGTAGCGCCTGAAGCACAAGGAACAGTTATCTGTTTTCTGTCCGACTGCCGATGGATATGTAACAGTTCCCAATGAGGCCTCCCGCGATACAAGTATAATTGGACATAACATCCTGCTTTCAGAGAGCTAATACCATCTCACATATACTTCCTACAGTTGGTTCTTCTAGTATATCTGAATACCGCCGTCGATCTGGTCACCACAATGCGGAGAGCTGCTTTGCTTCTGGGTGCGGTAACCACAGCATTTGCCGCCACTTTGGATGATGTTTGCACGGCCACCTACGCCAAAGCTGCCCTTCCAAAGAACGGTATACTTTCAGGCGTCACATTTAACACCTCGTCGATCTCTGTGTCAGTCACCAAGAACGCGTCTGTGACTGGTACAGACTTCCCTTCCGGAGTCATTGATTATTGCTCCGTGGCCTTCAGCTACTCTCACCAGGGCGCGGGAGATACAGTACAGCTCGAATTCTGGCTTCCTGCGCCTGACAAGTTCGCCAACCGGTGGCTTTCTACAGGCGGCGGTGCCTTTGCAATCAATTCAGGCACCAACTCCCTTCCCGGGGGTATCATCTACAATGCCGCAGCCGGTATTACAGATGGTGGCTTTGGCGATTTCGATAACGAGCTTGATGATGTGTTCCCCCTCGGAAACGGGACAGCCAATTGGCCTGCTGTCTACATGTTTGGCTATCAGGCGCATCATGAGATGTCCGTGATCGGCAAGGCCTTCACCCGGTCATTCTTCAACATGACTGCGGTAGACAAGTTATATTCCTATTACCAGGGTTGTTCGGAAGGAGGCCGTGAGGGCTGGAGTCAGCTCCAGCGCTTTGCTGATGAATGGGATGGTGCTGTTACCGGAGCCCCTGCTATTCGTTTCTCACAACAACAAATCAACCACATGTTTCCACCGGTTGTTGAAAAGACTATGGGGTACTATCCTCCTCCCTGCGAGCTGGAGCAGATTATGTATGAGACTATTGATGCCTGTGACGCCCTCGACGGTCGGACTGATGGCGTGGTATCTCGCACTGATCTGTGCAAGTTGAATTTCAACCTCTCAAGTTTAATCGGCATATCTTATTCTTGCAACGCGACCAGTGCCCTCACCGGATATGAGCCGGCCCAAAATGGTACGATTACAGCAGAAGGTGTTGCTCTCGCAGAGGCCATTTTCAAGGGGCTTCATGATTCGAATGGTCTTCGTGCATATCTATCCTTCCAGTACGGGACATCCCTCGATGATGCCACCACCGTTTACGACGAAACAACCAACAATTGGACTGCCTCAACCAGTGTCAACGGCGGCACGGAGTGGATTTCCCGTTTCATCGAACTCCAGGAAACATCCAATCTCGACTGGTCTAACTTCACCTATGACACACTGCGCGATTACATGTACGCCGGATGGCAAATGTATGAAGACACGCTGCAGACCACATGGCCAGACCTGTCAGCTACCCGTGACGCAGGTGTCAAAATAATCCATTACCATGGAGAATCGGACCCCAGTATCCCACCCGCTTCCTCGGTTCACTACCATGAATCCGTCAGGTCTATTCTATAACCCTGAGCTTTCTTTCAACGAGAGCACGGCTAGACTAAATGAATGGTACCGGCTGTTCTTGGTTCCCGGGGGTGCGCACTGTGCCGTCAATGCTTACCAAGATGGCCCTTGGCCACAGACCACGCTTGGATCTCTAATCGAATGGGTGGAGCAGGGCGTCGTACCTGAGAGGCTTAATGCGACGTACACGTCGGGTAGTGATGCTGGTAGTGAAGCACAGCTCTGCGCGTGGCCCTTGCGGCCGTTATGGTCTGACAACGCCACCAAGTTCGATTGTGTTTACGATCAGGTGTCTATTGATACCTGGCATTACCGGTTCGACTCGTACAAGGAGCCTCTGTATTGAGTGATGTGATTGATGGTGGAGATGGGAATTGTCTTCTGACTTTTGTTTTCGTGATTGTTATTATAGGATTTCTGGTGCTGTTGCACAAGTTCTCAATTGGCATAGCACTCTAAAATGAAGCTTGGAGAAAAAGCTCCCTTCCTAGGAACAAATAGACCTGCAGACTTTGCACCTAATTTCCATTAGCCGGCCAGCCATAATAGGGCTACTAATCGCCCGCTAAGGCCGCTACCGCTGGGCTATGATCCTTGGTTCCTTTCTTGCCTGTTTGGGCTCTGGCCTTCTTTGCATCAAAAACACCCATACAAGCGTAGCAGGATGGGTCTGTCTGATGCTTCTTCCTGGCCTCGGATTCGGGCCCTTTATTACCTGCCCTGATATTTGTGTTCAGGCATCTGATGAGCCGCGCCACTTAGCCGTAGCGGTGGCTATGTGCAGCTTTTTCCGAACTCTGGGACAGGCCATCGGTATCGCAATCCGGGGAGTCATCTTCCAGAACTGCATGTACTCCAAGCTTATTAAGAATCCAGCTCATGTGTATCATGCAGATGAATATACTAGGGATGTTGCTTCGTTGGTGGAGACCCTGCGGAAGACACCGGAATCTGCGGCTAAAGAGGATTTGAAGACGGCGTATTCGGATAGTCTACGCATTGTGTGGGCGGTGTGTTGTGCTTTGGCAGGATGCAGTGCACTCTTGAGCTTCCTCATTAGAGACTATACTTTGATAGCAGATGGGCCTGTTCAGGAGGGGGTGAAAGAAGAAGCAGAATAGCTGGCGGGCGATGTGAACATTGACCATGTCTTTACTTATACTGTAGGAATATGATATGAGGGGATTCTATTTTCGGCTGACACGGCATAATATCTATACTATCCTACTAGTGTTGATTCCGAGGATTGTCCAAGCGAATGTATTCCGCTATAAGAACGATGGTTTAGAATCAGCCCATGCGGTTGTGGGTAGAAAATTTCCCCCATTGTATCTTGAGAGATGCTTCCCAGTCATCTCGCCCACGCAAGCTGTAGAGGTTATCCATACAAGTCAACGTGCCCACTGAAATCTCCCCTCTGGGGCCGGAGATGTAATTTTGCCGTTGGGAAGCTCTATCGTGTAAGTTGTGGAAGTTAGTGATGGACATGAGTCGCGAGGTTACACTTGTTATCAACTTACCGCGATGTTTTGGTAGAGGGCGGCGTAAGGGACGCCCGCACAGTTCCATACGATCGATCCACTCGACAAAGCTCATTTTCGTGTTGATCTCGTAGAAGTGGGTTTTGGAGTGCTGGCCTCTGAGACAGTGACCCATAGTCATGAGCTCCCTTTCTGATGGATCTATCATTTCAAACCTATTCTGGCGATATGCAAGTGCCCGCATCTTGAAGTAGCGGATAGATGGAATGGTGTCACGCAAGGTATTCATGAAGCGACGCCAAACAGTGGATATGGCCGCACGGAACCTTCGTGAAGGTCCCATAGCTACTGGAATGGGGTCATTCAAGCTGACTGCAACCAGGGTCAGGACCTGCAGGGTTGGAGCGGCTGTGCTTAGGAATAGCTGGAAGCTAGGCTGAGTGAGTTCGATCCAATGGAGATGAAGTTCTGTAAGGCGGGTGAAATTAACTTGTTGGGCCAAGTTGTCGAAATGATCCGGGCTTAAATCATGGAACTGATCCCATAAGGTGAGTCGGAGAACGTGGAGATTTGGAGCAGCCCGGATAACGAGAGAAGAAAGAAATTCAGTAGTATCATTCGGATTTGAGCGTCTGAGGCAAATATCCAGGTTCTGTAGCTTACGAAGAACACATCCAAGGCTTTGATAGAGAGGCTCAGATAGAGTGAAGCAGTCAGGGGGAACCGATAATTCATCTTCAACCAAGCAAGTATATAGCCTTTGGACTTCCAAAGGGGGAGAAACGGCGCACATGGCTTCGAGGAGACTGGTGAGCCCCTTGGTCCAAACTGGATGCCTTATGTCGTTCCACATATTCCACACTAGACCCCACGTGCTCAAAGGCCGATCGGCAAAGCGGCACGCACTGGGCATCAGGAGCCGTGCACAAGGGTCAAAGGGCAGCCGTTTTCGCAAAGCGCGCATGCCCAGGCAGATAAATCGACTCTTCTCTTTGCCTGGCCATGAGGGAGGGTAGGGTCGCAACCCTATAGTAGAAACATTTCTCAATCGATTCAGGCATCGAGTAAGACTCTCTACTAAACACTCCGACTCTGCAAATGCTAGGTGATCAGTCTGAGCAGCCTGGTAAATCATATACTGCCTTTGAACTTCCTCGGTTGACCAGTTCTCACTCCCGGGCGCACAGAAGCGTAGGATTATTTCAAAAGCACTAAGGTCTACCTCGTAGTCCCCAAATACTTGAGGTATGAGACTCAGTTCTTCCACCACATCTCTAAATGATTCTTGCAGGGTGAAGGCTTCAAGCGCCGTAAGAGCCTCCTGAGTTAAAATGACACTGACACGCCGGAAGTAACGACTCGCAAAGTGGGAAGAAGAGAGTTGATAGAAAATCTTGCATGTGAGTCGGAGGGCGCACCAGTCCGAGTAATCGAAATGACTTCCGATGGCATCAATAAGTTCCGGTGGAAGTTTGTTCATAGTAGCTTGTTGTTGATGGTGATGGGGGTTTTCCAAAGGGACTCGGAAGGTGAAATGAAACAAGATTGGTTGGACAATCTAGTGCGTAAATAAAAAATACTCCTAGTACTTCGTAGAGTGTTTTCGGGAAGTTGCGGCCGAAAGAAATTCCCGTGGGTCTGCCTGGAAAGCTTTATCTCCGAACGCTCTACGGGTACGGGCGGATGGACCCATCCACTATTGAGTCCTTGAGGCTTACTAGAACCCTTGGGGTACTGGTGAGTGGGGCGAGCCTGACTTTGGATACTGCATCCGTTCGTAGGTTCAAAAGCCCGGTTTTAGATTTATCCATGACAGCGATTCTTGGCCAAAAACTGATTTCTGAGTGTGACACCGCAGGAATCATCGACTATCTTGAAAATGACTCACTGTAGCGTGCATGCATCATGCCACACTACACGCAAGATACAGATCCTGCGCCAAGGTTACAGGGGTACTATGACCGGAACACGTGTAGGAGACGGTGAAAACCCCACTCCGTTGACCGCATAGACAAGGCACTATTACACAGGTTCCATCAAATATCGATGCGAACAGGTGATCCGGACCGGTTGCGGAGGTACAAGGTCGCAGAGAAGAAGTTATATCTGGCTACGAGAGGGCGAGATACATGCTTCGATCAAGCAAGTCGGGAATCGGAAGAATGTCTCTGATCACTATAGCTAAGAAGCCGCCATTTGTCCGTATGCACTCTCCGAAGCTGGCTACCGGGGCCCACCGGTCGCTGACGACGGCTATATAGCATCTATCAGTGGTCCCCTAATCTTCCTCATCATCATCATCATCACCATCATCGTCATCTTCCCCCTCTTCGGGCACCCAATCCCAGGCATGAGGTTCGCCGTCGTAAAATGCCACATTTTCTTCAAGCCAGTACCACCAGCTCATTGCCAAAAAAACATAATTTTCGACGTTTTGTTCAGCATATATATTTTTGTACCAACCGGCCGCAAGTGCAAGACATTGTTCCGTATAATCTGGCAATTGAGAATTACAGTGTCGGGTCAGCGCAAGGACTTGGTCAATAAGCAGCCACTGGGAGGAGCTTACAAGAGTGATCGGTAAGCCGACCGGTTATTGGTTGATCGATCTTCTTGTCCAACCCCATCCAGAAAGTCACCAGGTGCCAAAGTTCGTGGAATAAGGTGCTGCTCCGGGGCATCGCATCATACAGATACTCCCCGTCTTCTGCCTCGACTTCTGGCAGGCTGGCGAGAATGTCATACTCCCACGGGATTTGACTATCAAACGAGTCGGGACATAGCAGCACAATGTCCTCCATGGCTTTGTATTCGATGATTTCAGTCTCTCCGTTGACGGTAGCCTGGTAGTATCCCTCCGGGTAGCCAGGAATGCTCACCCCCTGAAGGGGGTTGCCGTTTGCACTCGCCCCGCACAAGTCGCCGTTCGATGTTGGCTTTGGGAAGACATAGACCCCCATGTCGGAAATCCAGTATGGGCGGTGAGAATCATATCCCGCCTGTTGCCTTACTTGCTCATACATCTCTTCGATAGTCAGAGCGACTCCGTTCAATTCCACGGGATTTCCTGAAGCGTCAAAGGCTTGATCTGTCCAGTCAAACCAGTCTCCAAAGTTGTCACAGAATAGCCTAGGCGGAGACTTGTACGACGAATACTCTCCACTGGCCACGAATTTGTTTAGCACATCGGAATTTTCTGTTTGATTTCGTACGTATTAAATTTTATCTCTTGAAAGCGGCAAAGAGGCTACTTACGCATGAAAGCCATCATGGAGCTTTGACTAGACTCATCTTTAATTGCTGGGGTGTCGCCGGAATTATCGAATTTGATTCCCAGCCATGCCGTGAAAAGCTTTTGGGCGACCACACGATCTCTGGTCGCGTCCTTATCCTCGGCGGTGTCGAACGCAGTTGCAAGGCCGGAAGCTAAGGTATTGGTATCCATCCAAAAGTCCTCGAGCTTTGACAATCGACTGGCGCAGCTACCAGTACCAGTACCAGTAAAGATATTGAAGGCATTGTCTACCGTAACGGCAGCTCCTGGCATGGCCAGCAGGCCGATAGTGAACCCCAAGGCAACAAGAGATCGCAACATTGCGGTGCTCAAATCATTGAAAGTATAGTCACTCACAATGTTCTCTTTCTACAGGAAAATCAGAACTAGATTTATATTCCCGACGCCATTATAGTATGACGATTTCGGTGAAACGCTTCTCTCGTCCACAGCCCCTTTCTGAGCACACCGCGTAAATAATTAGCCCATCCGCCAGAGTTAGCAATAACAACTTCACATCGGACTAGACAGTGGATTCAGTAGCGATGCAAGTTGAGCTCCCCTCATGGTCTGAGTTGTTATTGGGAAATG